CGACCGTCAACAACCCCCCCCCCCCCAAAGCTTTAATCTTTGCTCGTCCCGAGTAAAGGACGAAATGAAACAAACAAATCAGGAGTTGCTGCAATGCTATATATCTAGAATGTTAAAAATGCATAGTATGGGTTCTCTTACCAGAATCATGCCAGTCAGCATGGTGTCTTACCCATACGCCTAAACTGTGAGGCATCATGCTTCACCTTGTCTTGGGCGGTTGAGAGACAGAACAGTTAGTAAAGCACTACTCACCCATTTCTCGTCTAACTTTTATTCCGGAGATTTTCTCAAATGATTTTTTCCAATAAAAAAAACAAGTTCCTCAAATGATTCTCTCAGTCCCTCAGTGGTGTATAATTGTATTCCTCACCAAGATATTGCCATTGTCCCTACTCTAAGGTCAAATATGTGGAGTTTGGTAGGGATCAAGTAAGGCACACTTGTATTCACATTTATTACTAAGTCAAAAATCTTGACCAAAGAAGATAGCAAAACATACTTCTGATCAAGATCATGCAAGATGTGGGTGTGGAATATTTGGTGGAACTAAGACATATTTGGTGGATAAATATAAAACTAAACTTTACTCTTTTTTGATATACCTCTTGGGATGGTAGAAGAGAAACAATATGACGGTTTTTGATGGAGGAAGAGGCGAATCAATGAGGAGAAGGTTTTGATCGTCTACCTTCGTGGGGGTGAAGGCAGGAGCTTGCAGTCAACCCCCCCACAACCGTTCAAGTAATCCAAAGTGAGTTGTTCGATTGCTTGATAGACCGATATCAATTTAGATGTTGTTAAGTCCACATGCAACGTGAACTGTTGGATTGCTTGAACTGTGGATGATGGGCTAACTGCATGCTCGTGCCTTCATGCTATGAAGGCAAACGATCCAAATCCTAAGGGGAGGGACTTGGCAACGCACAATGCGAAGGTCTCCTGGTGATGCGCAACGAACGGAAGGGAATGCACCGCCTGCGATGCTAGGGGGGAGGGGAAGGGGAAAAGGTTGTTGACTGGCTGGCTGGACCATGTGGGGAATTACGTTAGGCTCACAGAGCAAGAGAGAAAGCCTTGAGGGAGCAATCTGCTACGTTGAGCAGAAGGATCCAATGGATGAAAATAAATGGTGACATCACTCAACCTCGAAGTAGGAAATTGCTAGTAACTAAGTGAGCTCAACATAGGTATATATGATAAGAAATAAACTAGCAGGAGTTCATTGAAGTGAAAAAAAATGTCATTCTAATATAACCCATTAATTAACTAACAACATTGATTAACCTATGTCTTTGGGAGGAAAATTTGCACCATACCATTCTGACTTGCCAGGAGACTATTCTGGCCACCATGCACTAGTGGCATGAGCATGTGCCGCAGGAAAACCGACGACTGGACCACTAGCTCGTAAAGCACCACTAGCAAGAGTAGTTGTGTCTGGAGCACCGGCAACATCTAGAACAGGGGCGAGTATTCACTGGCGGCATGATTGGATTTGGATTGGCACTTCTTTAATTCATTCTGTTGTATTCATCCTTGCACATGGCTTAGGACAACTTATTTCTTAGGGATGAGTGATTGAGGATTATTTTGTCCGATTTTAGCTATCAAGCAGAGAGAGATTGGAAAAGATGGGTGATTGGGGGAAAATGGAGGCGGCGAGACAGATAGAGAGAAGGTGAGCAAGATGTTGGCACCAAGAGGCTTGGGAACATGCCAAAATTTCGTGAGGATTCGGTGCACGGTAGAAGAAGCTGGCGTGTGGGACGGAGACAAGAACAGTGGATTGGGAGCTCGAGTAAAATCCGGGTGTGTGGAAGAAACGATGAGTTGCCCCCAACGCTGATTTCTCTTGTTTCTTGGGCCTTGGTGTGTACGCCGAGCCCGTTTCATGCATGAGACATACTGTTTCTCTTCTCTCTCTCTCACCCCTAATTTCCTTGTCACATCAAATTTTTGTTTATATGATAGCCATAAATTCTGTGGACATTGGTAGATGTGGAGGGTTAGGACTACCCTAAAACATCTTTGATCATGCGAACATGAAATAGTTGTGCCAGATAATCTTTATAAAAATACAAGTATATCTTAATCCACCAAAGCTGTACAATATATGAAGCATTGCATCAGTTCCAAAACTATTCATTTCTTGAAATTGTGTGCCAACATATATATATATATATATATATATATAGCATAACTGTTTTTTTTTATTATAGACGCGCATGGTCTCCACTACACATGCACACCACACCACGGGTACACACCAATTAATGAATACATGCTCAAAGAGATGAAAACTCTTGACCCACCAAAATCACTGTTGAAAGTGTATTCGAACCACATTTTTAAGTTAATACTATATATAACTAAAGTTTCCAAGGCCCCGTTCGATGCTTCAAAAAGAAGGTAAATTTTTTGCGGACGCGAAACGAGAAACCTCATTAGTATATGATTAATTAAGTATTAACTATTATAAATTTGAAAAATGGATTTATTTGCTTTTTTTAAACAACTTGCATATAGAAACTTTTTTAAAAACACACCATTTGACAGTTTGAAAAGCTAATAAAAAAGGAGTTGAAGAAAAGAACTAAGTTTTAGGATACACTTTTTAATTAAGTTAATACTATAACAAAAGCTGAATGTGTATCCAAACCACATTTGTAAGTTAATGCTATAACAAAAGTTGCATATTACAATATATACACTTTTGTTGATAATATATGGATTTCCTCCAAAGCCAAGCTACCTAGCTCTTGGATCATCGTCTTCAGCGAAGCTTCCTATGTCCCTATCCGTGTCGATCTTTCCATTTTAATTTATTTCTTCCAACGCGGTTGAACCGTGTGTAGGCCGCGTCGACCAAATATATTATATATACATAAGATATCACAGCATGGAAATGGTAGACTGATAGATAACGACTTGAGCAAAGCTATTTATTTTATTCAGCATGCAGCCAACAACGAGCTTTGCTTGCGTTTCCTACGAAAATTACAAAAGGAGACGCGTTTGTGTTCGTCGTCGTCGTCATTCTCTTCTCTCTTGTTTTTTCCTCTAGAACAAGGAAATTAAATGTGATGGTATATGAATTGCTAGGTTAATTTCCATGCACAAGTACGTACGTCTTTATATACTCCTAGTCCTAAGATGTACTGGTGTATTGACATGCATGTATAAGATTCCTCGTTTGTGCCGCATGTTGGTGCCGGTTTGAGAATCCGGCACCTAAGGCCATAATCGGCACCAAAGTCAATCTCTATAGTAGTGAAACGGAAACTTCCCTGGCTTTAATACATGAGAAAATCCAAAAAAAAAATTACCAAGCTCTAATAAATATCTACAAGTTGTATGAAATGTACACGTAAATTTATCCTAGAAATATCATCGTTGTTAGGATTTCATTTGCAGCCTTATGTTAGATGCTATAGGATAAAAAAGTGCATTTAACGGAGCAGGATGTATGTAACCCTAACGACGAAACGACGATGATATTTCTATGACAAAGTCACTTGTACGGGTGGTATTTTTTAAAACTCGTACTCATCGATGATATGTGTTGAACTTGGACGTTTGTTAATGATATTTTTGGATTTTTTTTTCTCTCAATATATATCAAAAAAAATCGAGGTGAAGGTGTCATGTTTTAGGTTTTTATGTTTAATGGAGCAGTAGGTTGTCGGCTCACGCTTCTTGTGTTCGTTATTTTTAATATGTTAGTATGTTACTCTCTTTTTTTTTACACGTATGCTTACACGTCAATACACTCTTAAGTGCGCCGCATAATAATATGGTCACATACAAATTCCAACCTATTGAAGAAATTTTCTCAAAAAAACATATTAAATAAAATAATATGGATTAATTAAAATTCGTAATAAAAATAAAATAAAATAAGTAATTTGGTCGCAATACAAAACTCCAAAATAAAATAAAATTTTCAGTAAAATTCGGAATAAAAAATATAATAAGTCCCCATGTAAAATACTATAAAATATCAAGAGTCCATATCAAGTGGTAAATTATAAAATTCGGAATAATAAAATAAAATACTATTACTTTATGTCCCTCTTTGTGCAGGTTTATTAGCTTAATAGAATTCGGTCAACTAATCATTTGACCGGCCCTGCTATATAAAAAATATATTAAACAGTGTTCCTCCAGAAGTAGTAAAAATCGTACAGAAGCAGCAGCTGAATATTTTGGATAGATACAGCCGCTGTTTTTCCATACCGTACTACGTACTCTAGCTAGTTGTACGTGTCAAGTTGTCCTTCAGTTTTATATTATTAGTCATTTTAATTTTATTTCTTAGTTATTTTTTTTTGTGTTTGATCAAATTTATAAAAACAATACAGTGGTATTTTCAACATAAGACAAATATATTATCAAAATATATTTAATATTAAATCTAATAAAACTAATGGATATAAATATTTTATATGTTGCTAAATTTTTTAATAAAAAAAATAAATTTGTCAAACTTACTAAGATTTCACTATGAAAAATATCAAAACGATTAATAATATGAATTAGAAGGAATATAAAATATTTTAGCCACTGACCGCGGCCTGTCTCCACTAACTGTTAAAAATTAAGACGATAAATATAAAAAACATAACCCAAAACAAAAAAGAATTTTTCAAGCGCATGCGTACCTGGCGTACCACTCTTTGGCACATATATATATCCGAACAAACAAACTACTCCCTTCATTTTTTTAATATATAACGTTTTTAAGATACATTTAATTATTTAAAAAAATTATATAATTATTATTTATTTTATTGTGACTTGATTTATTTTTAAATGTTAGATATGACTTAATTTATTTTATATTTTGTACAAAAGTTTTTAATAAAATAAATGGTCAAATATTTATAAAAAAAAGTTAACAACGTGCTACTCCAGTAGTACCCTCGACGTGTCGTCGTCGTTGCCCTGTTCCATTTTACATTTTTACTTGCTCTATAAAATAAACCACGCGAGAACGCACATGATGCTCTTCCATTAGATGACCCAACAAGGCAAGCAAACTAGGCTTCCGTACACACGTGCACACATTGGTGAAAACCAAAGTAGCGCTCCATTAACATGCTGCGTCCTCCGCCGCCCTCGTCCGTTCTCACGGCCAGCGCCGCAGCAGCTCGGCCGCCGGCGTCGGTAGTGCAGCCACAGCGGCAGGCGGCCCACCGGCGGAGGGCGGAGACGCTGCGGCTGCGGCGCGTGTTCGAGATGTTCGACCGCGACGGCGACGGCGTGATCACGCCGGCCGAGCTGTCGGGCGCGCTGTGCCGGCTCGGCGCGCGCGGGGAGGCGCCGCCCGCGGCCGCCGCGCTCGACGCGGTCGTCGCGGCGTACATTGCCCCGGGGATGGCGGGGCTCCGCTTCGCCGAATTCGAGGCGCTCCACGCCGAGCTTGCCGGCCTGGGTGGTCGTCAGGCGGTGGCGGCGGCGGAGGCGGAGGAGGAGAAGGAGGCGGACATGAGGGAGGCGTTCGGGGTGTTCGACGAGGACGGCGACGGGTACATCTCCGCGGCGGAGCTGCAGGCCGTGCTGTCGCGGATGGGGCTCCCGGAGGCCGCGTGCATGGCGCGGGTGCGCGACATGATCGCCGCCGCCGACCGGGACAGCGACGGCCGTGTCGACTACGAGGAATTCAAGGCCATGATGGCCGCTGGTAATTAATTCGGACGTGTACGTAGCTAGCGATTGGATTTTCTCGTCTCATATCGATCAAACACTCCTGTTCAAATACATCGTGCAAACTGTGGTTTCAATCCTGTATAGGCTCTCCTTGTAGTAGGATGTAAAAAGATAATAGAAAATCCATTGTGTATCTCGAGGTTTCACATATGAGATCATCGGAGGAGGTGGTTGGGAACCCCACCTCCCCTCCATGCAAATCGAAGTTTGTTTTATTGTATGATTAATTAAGTATTAACTAGTTTTTTTTGAAAAATGAATTAATATGATTTTTTTAATTAACTTTCATATAGAAAGTTTTTTATAAATCAAACCATTTAGCAGTTTAAAAAGCATGCGTGCGGAAAACGAGAGAGGTGGGTTGAGAAAATAGGGAGAAGAATACAGCCTTAGGTTCATGGCAGATGGACTGATCTGGTATAGTGCCCGTCACCAAAAAGTGAAGAAGGTTGAGACCCGGGTAGCAAAAAGAACATGAAAATTTTAGAAAGTAGCATTTGGGCATGTTTATTTTGGAGGATAGCAAGTAGTAAATTCTCCCTTGTTTTGTAGGTAGATCAAGTTAGAATTCATAGCCAAAAATAATTAATAAATACTTAATAGTTCATAGTAATATTATGCTTGCTCCATCCAAATATGATAGGGCATATGTTTGTCACGAAGACCAAGAAAGAGTTAATGCCCCCACATATACAATAACTAACATTATACTCGTCATATCAGGAGCTGCATGCAATGTCGATTTGTTTCCACACATGTTGTGTTTCCTATTACCTATGTCTCCATTGGATATGCTTATCCCGTCTCTGACATTTCACCTCTCGCTAGAGACACTACGAGCATTCATGAAAAAACGACGATCAAACTCGGAATATTTTTCTCCCTTACGCACTAATCATATTTGGACGGAGGGGGGTATACCAACATTGACAAGATGTAAGGATTACGGTAATTTCTGAAAAATTTCATATGAAAACAGTATACCATTAAAATGACCAGAAAAAAATCGCCATAACATTTCCATTCTATTTTCGAACAATCCATAATCAAAATATAACGTTCCGCCACAGGACGAAAACAGTAGCCAACACTTTACAAGTTTCATACCGTTTTCAACCTTAGACCTTCCCTCCTTTCCTCCTTGTTACGTGGAGGGCCACACGCTCTGCAGGCCGATACTCGCGGCGCCCCGTGAGACGCCGTACCGGCCATCGATCGATCCGCCCATGAACCGCAATCCCGGCCGTCCATAGCACCCACGTGGCGAAATCCTAACCGTCCACGTGGATCCTAACGGTCCCGGCGTCAGATAACGCACCACCCCCCGCCTTTGCCTCCCGACCGCCATTTCGGTTTCCTCCCCGCAGATCCAAGAAACGCCACCCAGACGTAAGAAAAAGAAAAAAAAACAGTGTCATTGCTACATAGAGAGACATGAGAGGTGAACAAAACCCCCCAGAATAAACACAGGCTTTCCTTCGTTTCAAGGAAGAACACACACAGAGATAGAGGTGAAGAGCGAGAGAGGGTAATAAACCGTTGTGTCTCACTGTAAGTGTCCATGATCTTTGACCATTGCGTTGTTGATAATTTCTTTGTGAATGCAATGCAACACCTGGCGTTGGATTTAGACAAATTGTATTGTTCTTCTTCTGTTGTTGTTGTTGTTTTTTCTCTGAAGAATAAATTAACGTGTGTGGAAAAAGATTTCAGTCCTCGATTTGATGTTTCGTTTGCCATTGTGTACCAAATCAAATCAGGGGGGAGGGAATGATGTCCGAAGGCGAGGAGCACGGGTCGCTGCTGGAGAAGATCAACGACAAGATCCATGAGTTCAAGAAGGGATCGTCGTCATCCTCGTCCTCGGACTCCGACGACGACAAGAAGCACCACCACAAGTCCAAGTCCAAGAAGAAGCGGCTCTTCGGCCGGACGAACCCGCTACATCACGTCCTAGGAGGAGGCAAAGGTACATACATATACATCTCTAGCCTGAAAATGCTTGTTTCTCTGATGATTCGGAATCCGATCGGTTAATGAACAAATTCTACTTAAATTGGATGGATGTTTTGAACATTTCCAGCGTAAGAATCGATCCTGGAATGTCTGAATTTTCTTTTCTAAGTTCATCGCCGTTTCATATTTTTTTATAGAAGGATATTTTTTACCCAGGCCCGGCTCTACATCTAACTAAATATATGCACTATTTTTAAATTGGAAACTTAGCCTCTTAAACAATCCAATCTAAAATTCGCTCCTATAGTGGAAATTTCGAGTCTTTTCAAATTAGGAACTTAGTTCCTCAGATAACCCAATCTAAAATTCGTGCAACCACTAAACTATATGCGCTTTTGCTCGTGGCCGTTTGATGTGTAATCTTCTCTCTTCAGCTGCTGATCTTGTGCTGTGGAGGGACAAGCAGACGTCAGGGAGCATCCTGGCGGGAGTGACCGTGATCTGGTTGCTGTTCGAGGGGATCGGCTACCACCTCCTCACCTTCTTCTGCCACTCGCTCATGGTCTTCCTCACCGTCTGCTTCGTCTGGGCCAATGCCGCCTCCTTCATCAACAGGTCACCCCCATGATTAGTTCATTCTCGCTTCTTCTACTAACAATTTAGCTTCGTTTTGTTCTTGTCAGAAGAATCGAAAACTGGTCCTCCTACAAAAATCTATTTGTGGCTTGATAGATGAATATTGATTTAATAGAATGGTTAATTTCGGAGCTATCTTAGAAGTAACTGAAAAAAAATAAAAGCACGAATATATATCTGGATTTGATCAGTTTACTCATGTCATTTCTCTGTCATCTTGGTGCTATTCATGTTGGTCTAATCTTTGTTGGCTCTAGTTGCTTTTGCCTAGCTAGCTGTTTATTCTGAAGAATTCATTTCTATTACAGTATATAGTTTTCTATATATTCAATGTACAACTGCACTGCTCAACTGTATACGTTGAACTCTTTTTATTTCTTCGAACAAAACCTATACATGTACAGTTTTAAAAGAGAACAATTTTGAAAGAGATTTCGGCCCTTGTTACCAAGTAATGGATGGAGAGGAGTAGAACAACAAATTCATGCTTTGTGGAGGCTGATATAACATATTAGAAATTTCAGGGGTCCTCCAAAGTTCCCAGATGCAATTCTGTCTGAAGTCCAATGCCTGAAGATTGCTCATATTCTGAGGAAAGAAATCAATGAGGCCTTCTTAACATTACGCCATGTCGCCTCCGGAAAAGACCTCAAAACATATCTTATGGTAATTTTTTTTTAATTTTATTAATTCCCTTTTCATGTAATTGACGCGCAATGTGATACTGGAGCATCTTCTTCTTCTTCCAGACAGTTGCAGGCCTCTGGTTCGTTTCTATAATTGGGAGCTGCTTCAGCTTCTTGACTTTGTCTTACACCAGTAAGCACATTGTTTACTTTCTCAGATTTCACTGCAAATTACTACTTCCTCCGTTTCACAATGTAAGTCATTCTAGCATTCCCCACATAATGAATCTAAATAGATATATATGTCTAGATTCATTAACATCAATATGAATGTAGAAAATGCTAGAATGACTTACATTGTGAAACGGAGGGAGTAGTAGTTTTTTGAGGTGTGTTCTGAAAGAATTGTGAAATATGCTCCCATATCTATTGACAAAAAATTGAAGTAAAACTCAAAGGTTTCCCCTTTGCATATAGAAAAACTGTGTGATAAAGTATGTACATTAATTTCTATAATTTTACTCACCCTTACCAAATTATGAAAATTATGTTGATTGCAAAACAAAATTGATGGATTTATTCACGAATATCTGAATTTGCATTGGTTACTGTTTGGGGAAAAAACAAACACATGGGAATGCACAATATTGTGTTCTGATGTCTACTCGCATTCGCATCAGATCGAATATATAACAATACCTTCTCACTTTTGAATTTGTTACATGATAGAAAATTACTACTCTGAGTTTTGTTTCTTCCATGCACGTTTAGGGAAAGTGTCTCCACGCAGGTCAGTCAAATAGTAATTTCGATAAAAAAATTCATTACGGTAGGATATTGAATTATTTAACCTGTTAGTACTAGGTAATGTTGAAAAGCTATGATCTTACACTTCTATCTCTTCTCTTTGGATGACCTGGAAACTGAAAAGCCTGAATCTGAAAATTATGATCAGAAATGCAGATCAATAGATAACAATTTGTATCTCTATCGCTCATCGTCGTTTGAGACACTCAATTTGATGCATGTTTGCAGTTTTCCTGATGGCATACACACTGCCAATGCTGTATGAGAAATACGAAGATGAAGTCGATGTCGTGGGCGAGAAGGCCCTAATCGAGCTCAAGAAGCAATATGCAGTGCTTGATCACAAGCTTCTCTCAAAGATCCCAATGTTAGCTGAGAAGAAACAGCACTAAACTGATGCTTTGAAGACCAAAGCCCCTTAATTTGCATGTTTCATCTTCAGCTCAGCACATCACCAAAGTAGTCTATTTGGGTTTCCTCTGTCATCTTATAGCAATATTTGGGATGACATCAGATAGAAATGGTTTTGATTCTCGAGCATCCGAAAACCGGGTTTTTTTTTGGAGCACTAGTACGGAGAACACTGTAGACGGTCACATGGAGTAGTTGCTTATGTTCCAGTAACTTTCAGTTCATATTTTTGAGCTTCTGTTTGGTCACAAGATACATATGACACACAATTTACTATGATTATTATTTGCATGTATTATTTGAGGTATTCTGAATGCTGAAGACCATACTAATTAGCAGATTAATTCATTTTGGTCCTTTCTGTTGATAACTGACTGTTGCATGCTTGTTCTGTGATCAATGCACATACTTCACTTGTGTGTTGCTCATGCTTGATGTGCTCATTAACTTGGAGGTGAATGAATTGATTTGGACATATTCTTCTGAATTTCAAGTTACTAGCAGCGATTAACACACATTAAGAACCTTAAAAACTTGAATGGATTCAGATAACACTAGACATTTAAATTTTGCAACTCTACTGAAAATGGTAAAAAAATCCAACATATGGCTAGAGTTTGGTGAGAACCCGACAGGACGAGCTGTGCGCGCCCGGCCGGCGCACGCTGAGCGCGACGTCGCACGCCGTGATCACCACCGCGTGGCGCCTGAACACGCCAAGGACGGTGACCGTGCCCGGCACGGTCGTCCGCACGGTGAGCGACACGTCCCCGGCGGCGCCGACCACGTCGCCGTACAGCTCCGGCGCGCGCCCGGCGAGGCGGTCGGCGAGCACGGTGAGCCTGACGGCCAGCGCCTCCGAGCCGCGCGGCGCGACGCGCCCGGGCGGCACGTCGGCGTCCGCGGCGAGCGCGCCGCGGTAGTAGACCTCGGCGCGGCCGGCGTCGTGCGCGAACGCGGCGACGGGGCTGGGGTTGCGGATGGCGAGGACGGCGTCGAGGGTGGCGTTGACGGAGCCTCCGGGCGAGACGGACAGCGAGGCGAGGCGGAGCGCGGTGACTGTCGCGTCGGCCGGGCGCGGGCGGGCCGCGGCGACGGCCAGCACGGCAGCGGCGACGACGGCGGCGAGGAGGAGCGCCGTGACGGAGATGGCTACGCAGACGCGGAGGCGGCGGCGGGACGCGGTGGGTGGTCCGTGGTGCTTGCAGAGCGTGGCGGAGGAGGAGGAGGAGGAGGCGGCGGCGGCGGCCATGGCACGCGTGTGCGTGTAGAGTGGTTTCTTGCAAGGTGGCCGAGTGTCCAAGCGGGAATGAGTGTGAACAGTGGCAGAGCCCGAACCGCTAAAACTTATTTGTTGGAGGGGATCCATAAGTCTAATATTATGAAATTTCACAAAATCATAACCCTAACCTCCTTGTGGACAACAGTTCTCTCATACCTTTCTCAATACTGAAGTTTTATTAGCATCTTCGAGAGAGACTCAAAACTTCAAAAGTTAGTTCCTAAAACCTACGGATTGGAATCATTCATTCGTTCCAAAAAAAAAATATTTTTACTAACCGGCTTCTGTTACCGCCAGAGAAACCCTCGCCGAAGCACGGTGGTATTGGAAGACCTCGCCTCTAAGGCTCTAATATGTGGAGAAACAGAAGGCCTAGCTGATCCTCTACACGAAAATGTCATAAATCAGGTAATATGCTAGGTGACCGTCATGTTAGAAATTTCTCATATCAATCACGTTCTACTTTTTAATTTGATCTGACAATGTCGTTAGGGAAAAAATTATTATATTGTGATGAATAATGGTTTGGCAGTTGATCCGATCTGTAATGAGTTATCCTCGCTCCTTATTTCAACAGCTTCTGGATGAATCATCATCCAACGATGATGACGATTTTTTTTTTGCCGCAGCACAAATCATGCATAGCTATTCACATTGCCAATGCATCAAAACATGGCGGGTCTTTCACGGGACATGAAGTAATTGATCACAACAGATAAGCACGTCATTTGAGATTATACCAAGACTACTTCTATGATAATCCTACGTACGACCCAGTTTTATTCGCGTACAAGTTTATATTGTTGGAATTAATAGATGGGCCTTAGCCCATTCAAAGATTAATTCTTTGAAAAATCACAAAAGTACATCTCATGGGATGACATGCATGGGGAGTTTAGTACCACCTTGCTTATTCTAGGAGAGAGGGACCTCCTTAAAAGGGAGGGTGTCCTTCTAGCCAATTGAAGCATGTGAGGTGGAGAGAAGTGGGGGAACATACGCGCGCTCGCTTGCCTCGCCTGGCAGGCGGTGGGCATGCACGACGTACGCGTCGAATGGTCTAAAAAATTGGTTCCTCACCCTTGCGCAGATGCAGTTTTGTTTTGCTGCAGAAATTGCAGTTTTGTTTTGCTGCGGAAATTCGGATTTGTTTTGTTTTGGAAACATTCCGAAAAATCCGGTGCGTGAAAACGGCGTGGAGTCCGGATAAGTTACACGCGACTTATCCGGTTTGGTTACGCGGAGTGGAGATCGTGCGGGCGCCTTGATCAAGCGACCTATCTCTATATAAACCAAGCCGCCGCCTTCACGCAACACACACAAAATCAATCTAGGGTTTGCCTCCTACTCTGTGCTGCGCTGTCACTCGTAGACTACTCCATCCCGCTTGTCGGCGTGCACCGGCGATCGGGAGAGCAGGTCTCCGGAACCTCTACCTTCGACGTCCTGCACCGGGAGAAGGCGGCAATAAGGTTTTTAGGAAGCGCTTCGTGCGACTGCTCCCTGTTCGTCCACGACAGCTTGTATTCCTGTTCGCTCGCGTGCTGCGTGCTTTCGTCAACGCCCGGAACGGCGAGTAATTCCTGCTGAGCAACCGGTCTTTCAGCAACCTCAGTAAGTGCTCAATATGTTACGCATATTTGATCTATTCATGTTATATTGTGTTGTTTACAAGTGTAGATCTATTGATGCGTTCATGCTAGTTTACATCTTGTTAACAGTGAAATTTGGTAAGCTCGGAGTAGTCATCGGCTTAGAGTCAGCATCGGCTTCGAAGTCCTGAGATTAGCCGATGAGAGTTGTCAAGTCGTCAGTTGTCGGATTCTTGCATCGGTGTTCGATCTCCGGCTAAGGGGTAAGTCCAATATTCCACCGGCCTAGGCAATTGTATCGTTTACGTCGGCGTCGTTCAAGGCTGCATCAGTACATTCGACATGTTGGATTGCTCTGGTTTGGATGATATATTTGCCTACCTATTTATCATATGTCTCTGTTAATCTAGTCTTAGCATATCAATTTAGCTCTATCGGCTGCTTCTCGTTTTAGGGTTTCTGCCGGTATCGGCTAAATCGCGTTGCTAGATTAGATTAGCTTCGACATCTACCACCCTGAAAATTCAGTCAACAGCTTGATTGTCTAGATATTATGTTTCTTTTCATACTTAATGTTGCATCAGTTAAGTTTGATCTACTAAGTCGTGCTTAGAACCATAATCTCTAGCCTAATTCTTGATTGCCAATAAGGGTTTCATCGGGGTTTCAGCCGGTGAGTTATCTGGACGTTGCATCGGCTTATAAGGATTGCATATACATATAAGTTGGATTTAGCCGATGACAACAAAGGTTTCACTGTTTAATCTAATCTTGTGGATTTCATGACATCAGACCTCCAGCCGATGTGTGCTTTAACCTTCGGATCTATGCTTATTTATCATATCATTATTTGCCGATTGGTTTATACTGGATTATATTGTTATTTTATTACATCATCATCAGCCAATTGCCTTTATATCATTATCTACATTGGACATATAGCCGATTGCTTAAACCCTATCGCTATCGGCTGGTATCGGCATCGGCTATTATCGGCTATCGGCGGGAACTACTCCATCGGCTTGTCATCCGATCGGCTGTTTTGATCTACTATTTGCATATCTTGTCAGTTGCAGGATCAAACTGACTGGCACGCCCGCATCTCATCAAGATTTAGACCTGCACAGGAGCTAAGCAGATCTCCCAGGCCAGTGTGTTCGATTTTTTTGTCCAACACATATGCGATGTCGTGATTTATTTATGGGATAAATTAAATCATTATGTGCTTATAATTTCAACAATCCAAAAATCTTATTATAGGCACTGTGGTTTTACTATGGCTGGTTTTGCCGATGCATTGAGGTCGGATAAATTCGCCGGTGTGCACTTTAAGAGATGGCAGATCAGGGTCACTCTGTGGCTGACAACTATGAAATGCTTATGGATGAGTGCTAGCAAACCTATGGTAGTTCTTGCTGCTGACCAGTAGAAAGAATTCGATGAGGCTACTACTCTCTTTGTGGGATGCATTCTTAGCGTCCTTGGCGATCGTCTGGTCAAGGTGTATATGCATATGACCGACGCTAAGGAGTTGTAGGATGCACTGAATACTAAATTCGGTGCTACTGATGCTAGCAATGATCTGTACATCATGGATCAGTTTCATGACTAAAGGATGGCTGACAACCTTTTTGTAGTTGAGCAGGCTCATGAGATACAGACTATGGCTAAGGAACTCGAACTCCTTAAGTGTGTCTTACCCGACAAATTTGTAGCCGGGTGCATTATTGTGAAACTACCTCCATCTTGGAGAGGTTTCGGTACTGCACTCAAACACAAGATACTGGAATACTCCGTTGAGGGGTTGATAGCGTCTCTTGATGTTGAGGAGAAAGCTCGGGAAAAGGATGCCGCGTCTAAGGGCGATGGTGGGCAGTCCAGTGCCAATGTTGTGCACAAGGCCCAAAACAAGAGCAAAGGAAAATACAAAGCTCAGCAGACCACCAACTTCAAGAAGAAGAATATAAACAACAATCCTAACCAGGATAAGATGACTTGCTTTGTGTGTGGCCTACCTGGTCATCTGGCGAAGAAGTGTCCACAACGCAAGGGGATGAAGGCACCTGCAGGGCAGACTTCTAAGTCTACAAATATGACTATTGGCAACACTGTAGATGAAAGCGGGTATGGTATTTACCTACTGTTTTTTCAGTTAATCAGTCTATTAACTGGTGGGTTAATACTGGGGCCAATATACATGTTTGTGCTGACATCTCATTATTTTCTTCTTATCAGGTCGCACAGGGTTCCACCGTCCTAATGGAGAATGGGTCACATGCTTCTGTTCATGGTGTTGGCACGGTAGATCTGAAGTTTACTTCGGGAAAGATCGTGCAGCTGAAGAACGTACAGCATGTCCCTACTATCGATAGGAATCTTGTTAGTGGCTTCCGTCTGACTAGAGACGAATTTAAGTTAAGTTGGTTTTTGAGTCGTTTTCCCTGTCAACAATCCAGGGCGTGGCGTGGGCCTTTTTCCCATC